TCGGCATCATCACCAAAATCGTCATCATCATGATGGCACCGTCATGATCATCATCATAAACATCATCATCAACGTCAGCAGCATCATCGGGACATTATCAACATCATCATCATCACCATCATCATCTCATCATCAACATCATCATCATCAGCATCGGGACACAGTCATCGTCATCATCATCAGCAGCATCATCGGAATCATCACCATAATCGGGACACCATCATGATCACCATCTTTCTCATCATCACAATTATCATCAACATCGTCAACATCCTCGGGACACCATCATCACCATCGACATCATTATCAACAACATAATCATCATCATCATCATCATCATCATCATCATCATCATCATCATCATTGGGGCACCGTCATCATTTTGAGCAACATCATCATGAACATCGTCATTATCATTATTAAAATCATCGGGACACCATCAGCATCACCATCATCATGTTCACCATCATCATCATCATCATCAACATCATCATTGGGACACCATAATCATCAACATCATCATCAACATCATTATCGCCAGGACACCATTTCCATCATCATCATCACCAACATCATCGGAATCATCATCATCATAATCATCATCATCATCATCATCATCATCATCGGGACACCATCATCGTCATCATCATCAACATAATCATCATGAGCATCATCATCCTCATCATCGGGACACTATCATCATCATCATCGGCACCATCATCAACATCATCATCTTCATCGGGACACCATCATCATCATCATCTCATCATCATCATCATCATCACCATCACCATCACCATCACCATCACCATCACCATCATCATCATCATCATCATCATCATCATCATCATCATCATCATCATCATCATCTCATCATCATCCTCGCGGGACACCGCGGGACACCGGCGGGACACCGCGGGACACCGCGGGACACCGCGGGACACCGCGGGACACCGGCGGGACACCGCGGGCCCCCGGCCGCCCGGAAGGGAGTCATTTGGTCCGGCCGCGCCTCAGCCACATGGGACACCAGCGGGACACCGGCGGGACACCGCGGGCCCCCGGCCGCCCGGAAGGGAGACATTTGGTCCGGCCGCGCCTCAGCCACAGGAGAGCCTCGCCCGCACGGCACGCACGAACACGAAACCGAAATCGATTTCCCGGTAGGGGGGCTCTCCATTCCACTTCGATCTCACCCCCTCACCTCCGATGTAAGGCCACCTCAAGGGCTACGAGCGGCGCTCAAGCCCGGATCATCCAAAATCCAGCCTGGCAGGATCCTGCAGGATCCCGCGCTCTGGCTGAGCCCCGTTTGCGCTGAACCCCATTTCGGCGGCGAGCCCGGGGATGACGTGAGAATGGGCAGGCCTTCTTAGAAGGCTCGGAAGTCTTCCGGCCTTCTGAGAATTGTTTCGAAGCCTTCCCCGAGGAGGAGGGAGGCCCCCCGAAGACACAGAAACCTTCTGAGAGGTCCCACCGCCTTCCGAGAAGGGTTTCTGCTTTCCTCTCTTCCCCTCCTCCTCCTCCTCCTCCTCCTCCTCCTCCTCCCTCCTCCCAACTCCCTCCTCCCTCCTCCCTCCTCCCTCCTTTCCCCCTCCTCGCCACCGACCGTTACCTGTTGGCTAAGCCGGGTATGGCCAGGTCTCTAGGGTCTTCCGGAGGCCCTCCTCAAGACGGCTCAGGCAGCCCCAATCCGAACAAGCCCACCATGCTACCCGAAGATACTCTCGACAGGGCCCCAAGAGATCCTGAGAAGGTGCGCCCAAGGGGCCCTGTAAGGAACTTCTGAGACGTTTCGTGTCACGCATTCTGCCCCGAGAAAGAACACGAAATAGGATTCAAATGGCAACAATGAATAATGCGGCCAAGCGATCAACAAAAACAGATCGGGCAAGGGCGATTGAGTGAACCCGGCGCGACTCCGATGAGGGTAACGCTTCCTGCGTGGCATTGCTTGGCAATGCTTGGCATTGCGTTGCTTTGTTTGGCATTGCATCGTCTTTCAATGCTTGATGTTGATAGGCACGCAGAGAGCACGACTGATACTGAAAAAGATAGCGAAACTGAGAAACATAGAGAGATAACAAAAAACACACACACACATCACACATGCAACAAATGATCGAGAGATAATTAGAGAGATAGAGAAAGAGGGACACACACATACATATGTATATATACATATATATGTGTATACATATTTATATTTACATATATACACATATATTTATAAAGAACGAGAGAGAAAGAGAGAGAGAGGGAGAACATAAAGAGAGAGAGAGAGAGAAACAACAAGAACGCGAGAGAAAAAACAAGATGGGTGAGAGCGACAAGTACAGTGAGAAAAACAGCCAGAGTGCTGGGAATACTGATGGTGGGAATGAACATGGAAAGGAGCACGAGCACTGGTGAGACTGGCAGTGCGAGCAACAGCGAGGCTTCATTTATATCCAGCGCATGTTTGTCAGAAATGGGGGGGGAAGGGAAGGAAAGGGAACTCGCATTTCACCACACGCAGCCGACCTCGGTGACAGGGCCACTTCGCAGACACACTGGGTGAGAGTGGTGCAGCAACTGTACGCGGAGCACAAAGAGTCCTGGCGTTCAAGAGCAGTCTCAGGAGAGGGGAAAGAGGAAGATGAAGGAGAAAGGAGGATCGGGGGGATACGTCATCACCCCTTGCGATAAAACAACAAACAACGACAATGAAAAAGGGAACGTGCGCCGTAAAATTAATGCGGCGTCGCCCATGTTGAACCAATGCCCGGAATGTAAGCACGCCGAGGGCGGAAGACAGCGCGCGAGGAACATAACACAACAACACAGGAGGAGAGCCGCGCGGAGCAGGAGAGGACCAAGCCGATCGAGGGCAGACGTAGGAATCAACACGGTGGGCGCAATTACTCGCCAACCGATGTGTTACACCTCGGCGGCGAGCCCGGGAGGGAGTGAGAAGGAGAAGGCCTTCTCCGAAGGCTCTGAAGTCCCCCCGCCCTCTGAGAGGCTCCCCGAACCTTCCCCGGGGACGCAGACGACTTCTCGGAGGGCACGGGGGGGGCCTTTGAGAAGCCCCGCCGACTCCTGAGAGGGCCGCCTCCATTCTCACTTCCCCCCCGAGCTCGCCGCCGAGCGCTAGAATGACGGGAAGAGGTGCCCAGAGGCTTTCCAGAATCGGGGCCGGAGCCGACGGGGTCGGAGGATCGCGCAGCATCGCCGATGCATCGCCGAGGCATCGGCGATGCCGCGGCGACGCAGGCGACGCACTGGCGCCGCCGGGCGTGGCGGAGATCGGGCTCTGCTCTGAGCCGCACCGACGGCGCATCGGCGCTGCGTCGCGATCCGACCCAATCCTCCTCCACCTCCACCTCCTCCTCCTCCTCCTCCTCCTCCTCCTCCTCCTCCTCCTCCTCCTCCAGCCTCGAACGTGTCCCTGTCCCTAAGATTGAGAAGCCAAAAGTCGACGACAATCTCAGGGAGGCGCCCTCAGAAACCGAGGGAATCCCTGAGGTCGGCACCGAGGGGAGGCGATGCCAACCATGGGGGCAGGGATATGTTCCAGGCTGGTGCAGGGCGCCCAGCAACTTCACGCGAGGAGCGCGAGAGGAGGGGGAGCAGGAGGAGGAGGAGGAGGAAGAGGAGGAGGAGGAGGAGGAGGGGGAGGAGGAGACGCGAGGAGCGCGAAAAGCCACGAGACCGCACAGGGGCGAGGCCCAGAACACCAGGGAGCTCCGAGGTCGGGCGCCAGACGCTCGCAGACCAGCTGGCAGGCTTCGCTTCGCGCGCGCGAAATCACCCGGCGAGGATCGCCAAGGTCCTGGCCATTACCAGCCTGGAACATATCCCTACCCCTATGCTGGGCACCTCCTCACCACGATGCCAATCTTAGGGATTCCCTTATTTTTTGAGGGCGAGTCCCTAAGATTGTCATCGCCTTTTGGCGTGTCAATCTTAGGGATAGGGATACGTTCGAGGCTGGTAAGGGGGGGAAGGGCGGAAGGAAGGGATTTCTTGGACTGCAGAGCTGTTGAAGCTGGTGGCCTGTCAGCGGAGTGCGGCGCTGCAGATAGCACAATGTCAGGAAAAAGACCGGCGCGGGCACCAAGAAGCAAGTACAGCACAGCACGGTCGGACCACAGCGACAGAGCGGACGGAATGCTTCGAACCGAGGCAAGGAAGGAGGGAGGTAGGGAGGTAGGGAGGTAGCGAAGGGAGGAGGACCGCTCTCGCCGAGCGTTGCTCGCGACCACGTCCAGACGGGCTTAGCCCAGACGGAGACCGAGAACTCCGCATGGACTTACTCCGTATGGATTTGGTTTCCTACCAGGAGAGGCTAAGTCCAGACGGAGTAAGCCCAGACGGAGACCGAACACTCTGTATGGACTTACTCCGTCTGGACTTACTGCGCACCTGGACAAATCGTACTGCTCGGCTGACAGGGCACGCCCACTACAAAACGACATCGAATTGTAGCCAGAGGCGACGACGCATAAACTTCGCACTACTTGGTAGGGCTTCGTGTTGCGCAAAAAACAGCCCCGACAGGTAATCCCGGCTAGCCGCTACATGCCCCCCGAATAATCCTAGCTGGCCTCAACAAGCCCCTCAAGTAGTCCGGGGCGGTCTCAACACCTCAACCCTTGGGCGCGGAGCGCCCCAGGGGCGCCGCCAGAGGCGGCGCCAGGGTGTTGAGACCGCCAAGAGGCCAACTGAGACTACCCAGGGGACCCGAGGCCAGAAAACACTACATGCGGGAGCGGTCTGTGCGCAGCCCGAAACCATACCAGAACTACATCATCGCTGGACACACGGCACACCCCTGCAACACTCGGCGAGGCGCAACCGACAATGTGAAGACTGTCCGGGCGCGCCGAGTCGGTGCTGGGGGGCTTCCCCCTAATGCCCCACCCTACCCGAGCGCGCTACTATCAGCAAAACGCACCCACGGGGAGCTGTGGTCCGTCCCGCGCCGAACCCGAGTCAAAACCGAACAAAACAACATCCTTCTCTGCCCAGACCCAGCCGGTGGCGTCGCTGTCCAGCTGCTTGACCTGCTGGGAAAAGAAAGCGCAAGATATCATAATAATTGTCCCTTCGTTCTCTTGCACTTCGCCGGAAAAAAACAATGTTTATAGCACTGTGCGTGGTAAAATCTACGTGGCACAATATCCGTTGAGCTCTCTATGTGGAGCAACATACGTTGCGCAGACCATTTGGTGCACCCCGCGCGGTTCAATTCATATGTTACACGCTATGTGGTGCAGTATATGTGGTGCGATCCACGTGGTGCAACTCACTTGTGGAACTCGCAATTGTCAACTCCACTGCTCGCGCAATCACCCCTCCCCACCCACCTACCCGCAACTTGTCTTGCAACATACGAGCGGCGGCGACTGCCATGACTGCTTGGTGTTGGCTGGTGCAGCTCTGCGGCTGCGCCAGCCAGCGCATGCTCGCGCGCGCAGCGGCCAGCTTGTTTGGCGCGACCGAGCCGGCGGCGTTGGCGCTGGCCGCTGGGCACGTCCCAACGGGCACTTCAGTGCGAGTCGGCGACTTGTTGCCATGTCGACACGATGAACACGATGATGATCGTAGCGATGCTGGCGACGATATGCTGACAACGACGACGGCTCGGTCGGCGACGGCGCCGATGTTGATCACGCCGACGACGATGACGGCGTCCCCACCGTCGGTGGTGAAGGTTTTGGAAGGAATTCGACATGCGCGCGCGGCCGACGCGCGAGTGTCCCGCATGGTACTATTTGACACGGATTGTGCCCCCCCCCCACTCAGCACGCGATCAGGGGCGTTCGAATGATTTCGGCATGCGGCGCGAGAGGCCCGTTTGACATAATTCCACAACAATGTTGAGAAACCTATGGTTTTCTGACGGATTCGCAAGAGCGCGAGCGCAGGTGTTTTTGAAAACTGTTGTTGCGAAGCCATACGCATTTTTGTAATGTGGTTTCGGGACGCTCGGTGTTGAAATCCTTAGGAAACCTACAAGTTCCTGACTGATTTCGGAATGCGCGCCCGACGACGCGCACATGCGCACTCCGTCTCATCTGTTGCCAAGGATTCTCGCGACAGCACGCGCGCAACGGCGTTCCAACGATGCTCGACATGCGAGCGCAGCCCGTTTGGTAGCATGTTGTGGAAATGTTGAACAACCTATGGTGTTCCGCTCGTTTTTTAAACAATAATGTTTTACAAAAGGCAAGAACTAAACTATAGCCTGGCAAAAGACCCAAGCATATGCTGCTACGGATACCGCGAGGGAGACGAGATGAAGGAGGTGGGCAGCAAAAAGGATTGCGGCGTGCATGAGGGGAAGAAAAGCTGACGCGGGCGAGCGGGGAACATTCTTGGTTTCGCCCGAACACCGTGCGCGGCCCGTGCGTCCGTGCCATGTGGACGCTACCGCTGGGGTCTTCGGTGGAGCTCCCCATGGGGCCACGAACCGAGTGAAGGGGTGCTCCGAAATGGAGCAGCAATGCCATGCGGACGCCCCCACGAAGGTCTTCGGTGAAGCTCCCGCTCCCTATGGGGCCACGAACCGTGTGAAGGGTGTGCCGAGATAGGGCGGCGGTGCCATGCGGACGCTCCCGCTGGGGCTTTCGGTGGAGCTCCCTATGGGGCCGCGAATCGTGTGAGGGGTGTGCCGAAATGGGGCGGCGGTGCCATGCGGACGCTCCCGCTGAGGCCTTCGGTGGAGCTCCCTATGTGGCCACGAACCGTGTGAAAGATGCGCCAGAATGCGGCGGCGGTGACGCATGCAACCGCTGCCACTTTGGCCTTCGGTGGAACTCCCTGTGATGCCACGAACCGTGTGAGGGGCGCGGCGCTGACGATGGCGATGGTGATGATCATGATGATGTGGATCATGACGATGGCGATGATGATGGCGATGGTGATGATGACGAGGACGACGACGAAGCGGATGGGATGAGGGATGCGGGGGAGGAGGGAGGGGGCAGCGGGAGGTGAGGTGTGGTGACGCGGAGCGCTGTCTTTTCAACACCAAGACCCAACACCACAAAATAGTTGGGAAAAAAGAATCCGTGCTGGGGAACCGAATGATGTTTCTTTGTGACACTCGATTTGAACTCTCTGCGAAACCTGAAATTTTCGAAATGGATTTCGGCATGCGCGCGCGACGACGCGCGCGTGTGCACTTCGTCCCGCTTTTGTTACCAAGGGTTGTTGAAAATGATGATGTTTGATCAACGGGTGCGCGCGCATACTATTTTTTGCAATGGATGGCGGAGGGGTTCGATACCGTCTGGGCAAGGATGGTATCAATTCCTATTTAGGATGGACGATGGGCACAATCATTCGCAACTTGCAACACGTAAAGTAGAGCGGATAATCCCGGGGGGGGAGTATCTATTTGTTGCTACAAAATAAAAAAGCGGCTTATATGTTTGTCCGCAGTGGTTGCCAACTCCTCTGCTCGCGCAATCACCCCATCCACCCTACCGAAACTTGGTTTGCGAAACCCTTGCGGCGGCTATTGCGATGACTGCTTGGCGCTGGCTTGCGCATCGCGGCGGCCGCGCTAGCAAGCGCAGGCGCGCCTCGGGCGGGCGCGATATCATGATGGCGTCGACAACGGCAGACGCGATGATGATAGTAGCGATGCTGATGACCACGACGACGACAATGACGACGGCAAGGCCAATGACGGCGCCGATGCTGATCACGCCGATGACGATGATGGTTTCCACGTGTCGGTGATTCAATTGTTGTGGAATCTATGTTGTGCAATCTACGTGTTGCAAACTATGTGGTGACATCTACGAAATGCAATGTATGAACTGCAATCTACGTGGTGCAACGCATGCCGCCCATTTTGTGGAGCAAAACCTGTTATGCAATCCACGTGGTGCAATCTGCGCTGACCAATATATGTTGTGCAAGCTATGTGGTGCAATCTGCATGGTGCAATCTGTGTGGTGCACCCGATGTTGGGCACCCGATGTGGTGCCACCTATGCCTGGCAATATATGCTGTGCACCCTATGTGATGCAGCTTATGCGGTGCAATCTATGGGTAGTCACACCCGGCTCTTTCGATCGTACATCCTTCAACACATTCGGTCCTCCCCCACGAAGAATATTGGCACGCACTCGGAAACTTGAGACAGCAGACAGGGGCAGAGAGGCGAGGTATCCTGACGCTGGGTCGAGACGCGGGTCCAAGCATTCCCGAGCAACCACGAGATACCGTCTCGTTACGAACTGAGGCCGACCCTACACGGATTGGCAACGAATGCAGCACTTTACATATACCTTTCCCACCGCAGAAACTCCATCTCTTGGGCCTCCCCATGCCATGTTCTCAAGCGCGGTGACGGGAAAGAGTGGTACACAACGGGATCGCGGCTCAGATTGAATGGCACACGCCTCCTCGTCGACTGAGTGGGAAGAAGTGGAAAACACTACATATGGATGCGTCACCCAAACATCATTCAACTTGAAAGCCTTGAAGAGATCACATCAGCAGTAGAATCAGAGTCGTGACCATATCACCAATCTTCACAGAGAGTTGATCCGAATTCTCGCCCTTGTAGTCCATTACCTATCCACCGATACGTCCCTATGCACATTGCTGGCCAGCGTCGTTCGACATGTAATCTGATCAATGCAAGACGGATAGAGAGAGAGAGAGAGAGAGAAAAAAAAAAAACAACAAAAATCGCATGCATCTTTTCTGTCAACGCGATTCCCATTCTCTGCCATATCCGTCACTGTTTGTGGAGTGCCCCATGGCTAATTCGGCTGCGAGGAGCACAGCGATCAAGGTGCCATAAAAACCGAGGCCACAAATTGACAGAACATTACGGTGGGCTCTTCCTTCCCCAAGTGCTGCGCGTGACCTCTCTGGGCACCAACAACAAATCAGACAAAGCGTGTCCAACGCTTCTTGTCTTGCAGGGGGAGCGCACGGCCAAGCGCACGAGGCCTTGCCCATCCGACGGGACGACCCCCTCGAGAAACCAAGAGGCCCCCTGAAGGTCCGCTGGAGACCCCCTAGGATGGGCCCCCCCCGGACACGTTTGCGCTGCGGAAACAAACACAATGGGACATTGTTTGGCAATTGTTCGGCCTCCGCGGGTCCTCGCCAGGTCCCGGCACCGTTGCAAAAACAGCTCGGGATGAGAAACTGGAACTGGGGAAAGGGTCGGGGCTTCCGGGAATTCCGCTTCGAAAGAATCACGGCATCGCACGTCTTGGCTGGGAGCCCGCCGGGCCCCACCCCTGATGAGGCCCCTGAGACCCCCCAGGATAGGCCCAAGGCCGCTGGATGTGACAGTTCACTTCAGCATTCGCGGGAGCCCGAACAACGCGCTCTTGAAGAAGCGGCCAATTTTGATACCCATCTGCACGCGATCCCAAACAGAATGGCGACACTCGAAACAATGCCGCGCACAACATATGATGATCAGCCACGCACTCCCAGACGCCATGTGCCCTGTGAAAACTAAGCGCACATCCCTGGAACATGCGCTAAGCAGACAACTGCCCACTGAACCAGCTGAAGCAACGCAGCACAAAACCGCGTCCTGTCCCACGTATCCAAAACACTGATGCTGATCTGGTTTGCACGCATGGTTAGCCCGACGCAAATCCCCGCCCTTCCCAGCCCTTCCCATCCGCAAGGAAATACTGATCTTCGGAAGACCTCCCCAAACGTTCAGCCAGTCATGATGTGTACTACTGAAGCGCGCACCTCGTCGTACTGCGAACTGCTGGCAAACATGTTACCTCACATAGTATCTACGCAATCCTAGAGCACCCTCAGATAATCCTTATGAGATGTCATTCCAAGACAGCCTTGTGACTAGCCGACTGTTGTACACACATGGTCCAACACCGATGTATCGCCGATGTCTTCTCCTGGCTGTGATACTTCCAAAACAAGCAACCCTCCAAACAAATCGCTACCCAGCATATCCACGCTGCACGTGGCTTAAGTGCCCTTCCTGCCAAGGAAAGCGTGAGTGATGTGTGTGAGAAGCTATGGGTCCTCAAAATGTGCGACACGGCCCTCTCAACATATCCCCAGACCGAATCGAATCGGCACATAATTTCCGCTCGGGAGCTCTGCTCCAGAGCTCTGCCAGCGAATCCAAAGAGAAGCGCGTTGAAACTTCACCAAAACAACAAGAAGACCCTCGTGGATACCTCGCGCTCATCCAGACGATTCCGCGAGGGTGTCTGCTTAAAGATGCGCCTGATGGTAGGCCTCTACGAAGCTCTTGGTTTCTCGCGAGCCGCGCACACGGCGTAGATATCTCTCGACGCTCTGGGGGGGAGGCGAAGGCGCGTGAAATGCCTTGCCCTGAGACGCCGTCTCACACTGGGCACGCTGTTGCTGTCACGAGGCTGCCCCCTCCGATGCACCGGATCCCCCCCGCCCTTCCAGACACGCCACCGCCTCTCAGACACACACAGAGATCAAAGAGTCGGCATGCCATCGGGAGATCTCCAAGACTTGCCAAAGCTGCTCTCGTGGATCCATTCCGAGCCTGGAGCTCATTGCCGATACAGTAGGAGCTCAACCACAGGAAACCTTCCACAAGAAACCCAACCCTGAGACCCCAGGACGTCCATAAACTTTTGGTGTGGGGACGCCACGCTTCCCATAGCAAACCCATCGAAACCCAAGAAACCAAGGGCACCCTCGAGGCAAGCAGGGTGCTTCTTGGCATGGGCCTCCACTGTAAGACCACCCGTCGGGTGAGAAGTTTGGGAGAGAGGTGTGACATCGTCTTTCGTGCGCATTGGGCGCGCCATTCAGCTCACAAGTGGGCACACATCGAGACATCAGCATGGCTCTGTGTATCCATTTGTCTGCCACTACCTGTATGTTGTACAGCCTGCTAATACGTATACACACGTTGCTAGACTGTCTAGGCGTCAATTGGTTCATATGTGTATACGGACACGTGTCGTATATCCTGCTCCTGTTGCAGATGTCCCCATTGGTTTGTCCTGGAGGCCACTTTAACTAGATATAGTTGTTTGCTCCGCAAGGCGCATTGAGAAAACAAGTGGTGCTGCCCCGCGGGGCGCATGTTCCATCGTATAACCTCGCAAAGCGTAGTATTATGTCAGTATGGCTTGGCAACACATTATTGTTGGCACTATTATGGCCTCGTAGAGTTCATATTTCTGATAGTTGGCCCCGCAGAACACGCTTATTTGCTACATTGTGGTCTGGCAACACCATCGGGACAATCATCGAGACAACTATCGAAACAAGCATCGGGACAACCATCGGAACAACCATCGGAACAACCATGAGGACAACCTGGGGACAACCATCGGGACATCCATCGGGCATCAATCGGGACATCCATCGGAATGACCATCGGGACAACCGTCGGGACAATTATCGGGACAATCGTCGGGACGATCATCGGGACAACCATCGGGACGAACATCGGGACGGCCATCGGGACAACTTTCACACCGAGGCCGAAGGCTAACGGGCCACATCTGGAGTAAGGACTCGCGCAACTTCGCCTCGCCTCGCCCGCACGCGCGGCACAAACAAAACAAAACGGTTTTCTAGTTGGGGCACCTCATGCGTAATTTCGGTTTCACCCCCCGAGCTCCGATACCAGATAATGCGTGGGCATCCAGGCCAAGACGCCCCCTCCGAAGCATGGCACGCGTGCCCCCCCGCCCCACTTGGGCGGATAGATCCGTACTCTCTGAACCAAGGTGCTGTCGAATCCCATATTGTCCGCCATCGTGCCCGGGGCATGCGAAAACGCAACTGGGCCGTCTGGTAGGGCCTCTGTAATCTCCACCCCGCCAACGAAGAGTCCCCCACCCCTCTGGCGGGGGGCTCTTCGTGGCCTCGCGACCAGCCGTGCGGAGACCAGAAGACTTCGCTACCGCTGCTCCCCAGACCTCCCCTGGGGTGCGTACTGACCAGAACGTCGAGGCGGATCCGGCCGTGGCGACGAGGCGACGAGGGCCTCCCAGGAGGTCCAGGGCGGAAACGAGGGACGGATGGCGGAGTCGGTGCCTCTCTTGCTCCTGCGAGGCCAAACCCCCGACTTCGTGATCTGCCCCCGGGCGTGTCTGCCGCCAGAAGCCTCCGCGGCGGGGGCTCCGGAGGCCCGCAGCCAGCCCTTGCCAGGGGCCGCGAGAGGGGGTGCGCCTCGCCACCGCTCGGACGTCCATGTCCCGTGCATTGTTTCGGTTTCGTGCGTGTTTTTTTGTTGTTTGCTCGATGGTCCAGGATCGTCCTCAGTGGTTCTCGCCGAGAAGAAATGCACACGTCCGAGCGATGCCAGGGCGCTGCCGACAGGCGGAGCTCACGGCGAGGCCGTGCCCGCGTCGGGCGCGGGCACTGCCCCCGCCGGGCCGCCGTGCTGCTGCTGGCGCCCGCCGTGCGCGCCAGCGGCGCGGAGGCCCGGCGTGCCCCCCCTGCACCAGGTGAGCAGTGAGGTGCACCTCCCTCCCTTCGCCCTCCGCCCTCGCTCCCTCCTCCCCCTCTCTCTCCCTCCCTCCCCCTCTCCCCGGCCGCCCCTCCCTCTCCTCCCTCTCTCCCTCTCCTCCCTCTCTCCCTCTCCTCCCTCTCTCCCTCTCCTCCCTCTCTCCCTCTCCTCCCTCTCTCCCTCTCCTCCCCCTCGCCCTCCTCCCTCTCCTCCCTCTCCTCCCTCTCGCCCTCCTCCCTCTCTCACTCCTACCTCTCTCCCTCCTCACTCCTCCCTCTCTCACTCCTCTTCCTCCCCTTCCTCCCACCCTCCCTCAGCCGCGGGGCGTGCTGGCTCGCATGGTACGGAAGTGCGCCGCCGCAGGGCGCGGCGCACCGGACGCCGACGTGCGAAGTGGACCGCCAGGGCCCTCCAGCAGAGCCCGAGGAGGCCAGCACCACTGATTGTCTGTTGGTTGTTGAAGGACTTAGGTTCTTACTTGTTCGGGTGCGCGACCGCCCAAGATGACCCAGCATGCCTCTACGATAACGCCAATCCAGCCCCAAAGGGGCCTGGCAGAAGGGCCCCAAGGCGGCGAGGGCAACAAGATGGCCCAGAGAGGCTCTCAAGACGGCCTCCGGAAGCGTCAGAGGGGCCAGGACCTCCCGAAGACGGCCCAAGAGGTCCCAAGATGCCTCCAAGGGCAACGTTCAGGAGGGGAAAAAACACACACAGACACAATAAATCGTCGATTCCCCCGAAAATATGGGAAAATATGGGAAGTGGGGGGGAAGACAAAATCCCAGAAAATATTGGAAAATGAGGGGAATCCATTTATTAGTGTGTATTTATTTGTGTGTCCTGGGGCCCCTTCAAACGTTACGGTCGGGAACGTTTGCTCGGCGCGTCGTGGCGGCGGACCCGGCGACACGCTGTGCGCCACAAGCGGCGGGCCTGTCGCTCCGCTCCGCGGGGCGGGAGGCTGGAAAAAGGTGGGACGCTGACATCCGGGAACTGGAAAGGTTGTTTGACGAACGAACAGCACGCACCCGTACCCATAGGTGGGACGGAGGGGGCTGTGGGTGCGTGTTGTCGGATGGGGGCCCCCAATCGAAAGGAAGCACCCCCCAGGATCCGACCACCCGCACCCATACCCATAGCCAGTTCTCCTCCCAACATTCCCCCTATGGGTATGGGTGTGTGTTGCTCGTTCGTCATTGTTCGCGAGTCGCGCCGAAGTGCGGCGTATCAAAGCCGGCGGCGCGACACGCTAACTGTGACCAAAAGTTCCCGAACGTGGGAGGAGACCAGCTCAGAGGGCACGTCGAGCTCGAATTGGCGATGCATCGCCGATGGATCGGCGATAGGCCCCCGCAAGCGAATCCTTACGGTCCTGGGAGGCGTGGGCTATCAGGTCGCTATCGGCGATCCATGGGCGATTGGGGGTCGATGCTCCCACCCCTGAGTCTATACCCCTCCACTGCTGCCCCTGAAGCACGGTGTGGCCAACATGCCCCTTGCCACGGCGTTCCACCTCAGGCGCCTGCCGCGAGCGAGTCTTGACAACACAGGGGGCTCCGCAGCAACAGGCAGCAGCCCAAACACCCCTGGAACAGGGTGATACCCGCAGGTTCGCGGGAACCTTGGCCGCCACACGAGCCACACTGCCCTCATCCTCTTTGTTATCCTCATCCTCATCCCAATCCTCATCGTCATCTGGATACTCATCGTCATCCTCCTCCTCCTCATCATCATCCTCATCCTCATCATCATCATCATCATCATCATCATCATCGTCATCATCATCATCATCATCATCATCATCATCATCACCAGCATCACCATCATCATCATCATCACCATCATCATCATCGTCATCATCAACATCATCATCCTCCTTAACATCCTCGTCCTCGTCCTCGTCATCGTCGTCATCATCATCTTCATCATCATCCTCATCCTTCTCCTCCTCCTCCTCATCGTCATCATCACCATCATCATCACGACCATCAACGTCGTCCTCCCCACCCCACTTGTCGGCTTTGCCACCGTGCTTGTCACTTTTGTTATCGTGCTTGTTGGCTTTGTCGCCGTGCGAGCCCGACCTTAGTGGCCCCGCGTATAAGCGGGGCAACTGCGCGCAAGCATACAAAGCGAACCCCGACCTAAAAGCGCGATGTCGCTCTTCCCGGCTCCGCCAATTGGGGTTGGGCGGCAAGGCATTGAACGAACGATCCATGTCGAAAACTGCGGGACCTCCGAAGATACTGGAAACTCACGCGTCAACCGCATATCGCAGAGGGACGCAAAGCAACCATTTGCAGTCGGCAACCAGAACAGATGTGCGAGCAACACTATTGTCTTTTGCAAGGCGAAAGGAAAAGTGGTGGGCTATGCACCGCACCCCCTCTACTGCTTTTCACTCCTTCTCTCTGCCTCCATATGCTTCTCACTCGCATTCCCCTGCCTCTCTCTCTCTCAGACTCTCCCTCTTTCTATTGCTATGAATCTCCCTCCCCCTCTCTCTCTATCTTGTTGTTACTTCTTCCCTCGCTCTCTCCCTCCCTCCCTCTCTATGTACATATATCTCTATATTTACGCATAAAGAGAATTAGATTCATCCTCTGAAGCGCTTTGTCCAGAGAGGCCGTTTTGCTAAAGGGCCGCTGGGAGGCCCACGCGTCCACAAGTAGGAGAAAAAATGGCAGGACACCCCGTCGAGCCCCCTGTTTCTACTTGTGTCTACTGAGGACAAGCCGTCGCACGGCAACACGTATAAACGGCCGATCGAAACGCACGATCACAGAAACTTGGCACGATCGTGAACCTGTGTTGACTCGAACTCGCGACTCAAGGCGGAGAAATCAAATGCGAGGCAGCCTGAGGCCGCGAACTGACCAAAGAGCTACCAACATCGTGAGTCTGGTGGCAGTATGGGTATGGCCAAAGGGGATCAACATATTCTCAGGAATGCTAACCGCGCGGCAACAGAGCCTCCATTGCAGCCCGAAGCCTTGCTTGAACACCCTGCAATCTCCCAACAAAAGAGACAGGAATCTTTTGATCTGCGACAACAAACAAGAGCTTCTCGTGCCGCTGGACACTCGGGTGACTCCCACCTCCCACGCTGGCGAATCAAGTCGAACGTTTCGCGCTTGCGGAGGTGTCGTTGCCAGTGTCCGGATGCCGTAGCACGTGAGGGCTGACGCCGAAACCAGGGAGACCGACGGCAGCACGTGCCCGCTGTAGTTCGCGCTCGTACCTGACCAGCGTGAGGTGAGGCGTCCGAACGGCGTGTTGCGATGTGAGAGCAGTGAGATATTGACCACCCGCTCGCGGCTCGGTACACCCTGCGAAATGCTTAAGAAATCATGGGTTAAGAAATTCATAGTCTCAGAACTTGAATCAAAACCCAACATTTCTATGACAATCTTAAGATTTACATTGAAACGTTAAGAATAATCGAGACTCTGGCCGAAAGCTTAAGTTTTCTTAAGCATCGCCTAAGGGGTAAGCCGCAGTTCACATGTTCGTCGATGTTGCCCGTCTGCGCGCGGCTGCCGCGGCCGGACGAGCCGAACACCGCGGCCCTCCTGCGGCATGCTGAGGCAGCATAACCAGAAGGGGCGACCACGTCCTCGTAGTTGAAGGGGCCCCAGGACACACAAATAAATACACACAAATACAAAGATTTCCCATATTTTCCTATATTTTTGGGGTTTTTGTCTTCCCCCCCCACTGCCCATATTTTCCTATATTTTCTGGGAATCGCCGATTAATTGTGTCTGTGTGTTTTTTCCCCTCCTGAGTGAAGGCCCAGGATCTCGGACGGCCTGTCAAACAAATCGAACTGCAACGCGCCGGCGGAGCCTCAAGACCCTCGTTCTCCGCGAACCAGTGTAAGATTAGGAAAAGGACCTTCTATGGGCAGGGCTTGACGACGCACCCACGAGTAACTTGGGCCACCCAGTCAACGCTCCTGTCACAGGGTCAGGCGAGATAAGCGCTTCCTTCCTGTTGTCCACCTTCAGCTTGGGCCACCCGAAGACGACTGGGACGCCTGATGCAGGACTGAAGCCCGCGAGCGCCACGCTGCCGAGCCCACGCGACGAAATCGGCCACAGCATCACTGGCACTGCTCTAGGGTCTCGAGGCCAGCTGTGCCCCTCCGAATGGTGCCAGGCCTGGTATCCCCGCTGGTGCGATGGCGAAGATCCCCAAAAAGGATCCGATGCGACCTTCTCAGCGACGCGTGCAGCGTGGTGTCGTAGCCCGCGCGGGCGAAGCGGATGCTTCGCCTCTCAATCGCATGGGCCGCCCTCCACGGGGAGAGGCCCGCCTCGTCAGCTGCGCGCGCGAGGATGTGAAGGGGCCCTGGGACACACAAACAAATACAAGCAGATAGCCAGATCCCCCATCTTTCTCCCGTATTTTCGGGGCTTTCGTCTTTCCCCCCCACTTCCCAGATGTTCCCATATGTTCCCGGGGAATCGACGAGTCATTGTGTCTGAATTGTTTTTTTCCACCCCTGAGGATGGCCGCCTTCAGGGCGCCGACGAAGTCGCCGCCAGGAGCGGCGACGGCGGGCAGCGGAGGCCCTCCGGCGATCCGCCCCCGCCCCCAGTCGCAAGCGGCGGCATGCAAAGGGAACACAAAGCTGCCGGATGGTCTGCTGCCCGTGTTAAAACTCTCGAAGGAACCATCGGCGGCACAGCACACAATTTTTCGATCCGCGGGTCGAGAGCGCACCTCTTCCGGTCGAAGCTGAGCGGGCCGCGCGAAGCTTGGATTCATCAGAGACGATGGGAGGGAAAGGGGGGCGCAGCCTCAGCTACACGGCACATCACACAGGAAAGAGGTCGAGGAGAGGAGGACCTCGAGTAGGGTAATGTCGGGCGTGTCCCCCTACAGGGGAGCTTTCTACGAAAAATTAAAAAAACATACCCCAAAAAGGAAAAAAAAGACTGCAACAATAATCACCGGACTGTTTTTGGATCATTCTTGGACTGTTTGGGAAGTGCTTTGCATGTTTCGTCGAACATCCCCCTGTAGGGGTACACGCCCGACATGAGAGTCGGGGCGCGAATGCATTCACGAAAGCCCCTCTGCCCAGCCAGCTCGGCCGCGGCCCGCGGCCTGCCGCCGGGGCGGCGGAGGGCCGGCGGCGCGGGCCCCGGGCGCGGCAGAGGGCCGGCGGGTGCGCCCCCTGCGGAAGCAGCGAGAGACGCGCACCTTGGGCGCCCACCTGAGCCAAAGCAAACGGCACGACGGGCAGCCAGCGAGATGCGCGTGATCATGCTCCCGCGTAACCAGCCTCGAACTGATCCCCATCCCCAGGATGGGCGAGCAAGAAGCGAGGACAATCTCAGGGGTAGGCCCTCAGCAACTGAGGGGATCCTCAAGGTCGGCATCGAGGTGAGGTGATGTCAAACATAGGGATAGGGATATGTTTCAAACTGGTAACCGCGGGCAGTGAGCGGACAGAGCGGATAGAGAAGACGAGGTGGTAAGCATCACGGTGGGCTTCTGATGCGCGACGGAGTCGCGACACCAACCGATGCAGATCTTGACCACTCCTGGAAGGCCGCGCAACTCGGGAACAGGTCTGAAAGCTCAGAACTGGGCGCCCGTGGGGTTCCCGATTGACCAGCTCGCGCGGCAACGCCGACACTCGCGAGCCACCCCGGCCGAGAAGATGACCAGTTCCCCCCCCCGCCCCCCCCCAAGGACACTTGATGTCGAGCACTGTCGCGATTGTGCATGCCAGGCCTGGCCATAGATCAAATCGAGCACGGGCCCCCCCCACCTGCGCCCTGGAGGCACGCCCAGTACGAGTCCAGTGCGTGGCCATCCTCTGCGCGGTCCGCCGCGTGAGATCGCATTGAACACCCCGAGCAACCACCAGAGCAGGGCCCGCGCGAAGGCCGCGGCGCCCAACGGCGCGCGAGAGCCACGCAGAGCCCGCGACAAGCTCCAGGAAGACCATCTCGGACCTGCTGGAGGGCGCGCGTCGGCCGCTCGGCCCATCGCCCGGGAGGACCTGCGGGGCGCCGGGGGGCAGGCGGCGTTGGAGATGCCGAGCACGCCGTGGGCGTACGTGATGAGGCAGGTGCTCTTCTCCAGGCAGGGCGGTCGCCGGGGCCTCGCGAAGCTGATGCTCAGGACGGGGCCCGAGACCTTCGAAACCAGGGGGGGGGCTGAAAGGCGTCGGCACGCTGCCGACCTCTGCTCTGGGAGTGCCCGGAGCCTGCGCGAGGGTGCCGCGGCGGCCCAGCTCGGGCTTCTCCTGAGGACGCGGCGGACGCTGCCGAACCCACTTCGAAGTTACCCTTGCGGGCGCCTTCGAACTCGAGCCTCCTGGAGCCCCTGTCGGCAACGCTGCGACCGCTGACGATGTGTCTCAATGTGGCATCGGCGCCACGGCGCCAAGGCGATGGCGCACACCTCGACGAGCAAGCGCGTCGAAGGCAAGGCCTTTGAAACCCGCCCCGCCCGAGGCCGCCGATCGCGCGACAAGGTTGTTGCCCACGCGCTTGCGGCGGCGACTGCGGGCCCGAGCCTCTCGGCAAAAACTTCGCCGCGAGTGGAGCGTGGCTCGCCCCTCCTGCGCGCTGATGCATGCGCTCCTCGGGACACCGCAGAGGGTGCGTCGCCTTGGTGCATGTGCTCCTACGCGTTGATGCATGTTGCTGGCCTGCTCGCAGAGGGTGCGCCGCCTCGCTCGCTGGGACGAGGCGCTGGCTCGCGGCGGCGTGCTGGTGCTAGGGTTATGTCGGGCCTGTCCCCCTACAGGGGGATTTCCGACGAAAAATAAAAAATACTTAACATAATCAAAAGAAATGATCAAAATATAGTCTGGGGAGTATTTGTTGCGTACTGTTTGACCTTTTTGGTGTATCTTGAAGGTATTTTTATTTTTCTCGTCGAAGATCCCCCCTGTAGGGGGACACGCCCGACATAATGCTAGGGGAACGAACAAGGGCATACGCCTCACACACATCGGAGGCCCGCGCGGAGTCCTCGGATCGGCGCTGGGCCGCCCCGGCGGCGCCTCGGAGCGCCCTCCCCCTGGCGCGCTCCGCGCGCCAGGGGGAGGGGCCCGGCGCCGATCCGAGGAACCGGATCGGACCTCCGAGCTTCTCAAGTTCATGTCATCGTTGAAATGGCCCCAGGACGCACAAACAAATACACACAAACAAAACTGTTCCCCATGTGTTCCAATATGTTATGGGTGTTTGTCTTTCCCCCCACTTCCCATATTTTCCCATGTGCGGCTCTGCGCCGGGCCACGTGCCGGAGGGGCCCGCCGCCGATCCGAGAAACCGGATCGGACAAGAACGGCAAGCGCCGCTGTAGTCTGATGGGCGTATGGGGCGAAGACGAAAAGGGAGGCGAGGACAACGAGGAGTCGATGACAAGGACGACGTGGCGAACGTGAGGATAGCGAGGAAGAGCATGAGGAGAACGAGGAGGAAGAGAAGCACAAGGACGCCCATCCGAGAAATCCGCGCGGACCGCCGAATTTCTTAAGTTCATGTCATTGTTCGTTCCCCCAATAAAACTATCCCCCATATTTCCCAATATTTTCTGGGTTTTTGTCTTTCCCTCCACTTCCCATAGTTTCCCATATTTTCCTGGGGAATCGACGATTCATTGTGTCTGTGTGTTTTTGTTTCCCTCCTGAATTGTTCGTTCCCCGGGGTGCTGCGCTCCACCTCCGCACCAAAGGGGGGGCGCGCTGGCTCTGCGCCGGGCCTGGGGCGGGGCAGGCAGAGCGCTCCAGCATGATCTGGCGGAAGCTAGGAGCTCGCGCCCGTGGCCGGGGCCGCCTTCCACCCGGGTGGCACGAACTTGCAGAGCGCCTCACCAGGGATAGGCTCACCTGGCGCGAGCCCCACCCAGCGAGTCCACCGCCTCGGGGACATCTACCCAAGCAGGTCGAGAGAGCTCCACGCGATGAAACCTCCGCCGATCTCGATATCGAACGGCATCATGGAACTTCTGCGCGCCCGAAGGTCGACAAGTCGCCAATGTGGACCTCGGGCCAGATGGGCGCGCCCAGGTGCGCCTCGATGACGAAGGCAAAGCGTCGGATGACCCAGATTTCCCGTCGCGCGCTCGAAGGGGCAGGGGGGCGCCCCTCACGCGCCAGACCGACGAAAGTGCGCGACTCCTGAAGCACCGAGAAGAGCTCAAGGTGGAGGGCGAACGCGTGGACGGCGTTGCCATGCCAAACCTCCATCTCGTAGCCGCGCAAATGGGCACAACTTAGGAGGGCCTGAGTAGCCAGGGCGCAGCGCCATGTCCGTTGCGCAGTATACGTCGGAACACCTCGAGACGCGCGTGGGAATCCAAGCCCAGAGTCTCCAGGAACGTCGCGCCGCGGTCTCCGCCGCGATGTCGGATCTTCTTGTCCTCGAGGTCCTTACTGACTACCTGCCAGACCACCCCAACCCAACCCGAATACCCGAATTTGGGGTTGGGGGGGGGGGGACGGGTTCCACATGTGTTTTCTCAATGTTCCCCGACCCCCCCCCCACTGGAAATGGAGGGCCAATTGAGGCCTTCGGGTTGGAGTTGGGGTGGTCTGGCAGGTGAGGACTCACGGGAGCGGCCCACGCTCCGCGCGGAGCCGAGGCCGCGGAGGAGTGGACAGTGCCAACGGTGGCCCCCTCGGCCGGCGCTTTCAGGCCCACGCCCGACGCGCTGGGAGCGGGAGAGCGATCTCGGGGCAGACAGTCAGGGCCCACAGGATGACGCAACGCGACCATACAGTCAAAACGTATATCAAGGACGCGTGGTGGTAAGGACGCAAGACCCTTGGAGGCCGAAGTTGGGTTTTTTTAGGGCGGCGGGCGACCAGTGGTAATGGCGAGGACGAGCCTCAGAGGCAAGGACACAAGGGTACCCTAGATGAAGGCGCGCGTCCTTACTAGGCGCGTTGAGTGTATCCTCACAAAACTTCCGGCACAGATGGGGGGAGCACGACCAGGCAGGACAACTCGCAGACGTGACGCGTGGATTCACGTTGCCGGTGTCTCGTTGCCGACCGCCGCTGTCTGCGCGTGGCATACTCGCACGGACACTCGCATGGATTCTCGCATGAATTTCGGGCGGACTCCGCATGGATTTCCCCCTTTTCCAATGCCCGGATACCATGTGATTTTACATGGCTGTGCAGCAAGAGAAATCCAGACGGAATCCACACAGGAACCCATACCAACTGTTGTCTTTCATGTTCTGTGGCCCGCGCCGCGGAATCGATGCGCAACTCCACGCCCGGGATGGAAACATCCATACAGAGGCCATTCCGAATCCCTACTGCAGCATGCCCTGCCTGAGCCAGCCCACGCAGAAGCCCTCGGAGCAGACGAACCAGCCCACGCAGAAGCCCACGCAGAAGCCCACGCAGACGCCCACGCAGAAGCCCGAACCAGCCCACGCAGAAGCCCTGGGCTTCCGAAGCCCTGCTGCGGAGTGCCCTGCCCGAGCCAGCCCACGCCGAAGCCCTCGGAGCAGACGAACGCGCCCTCGTCCGGCCTCAGCACGTCGAGCCCGCCGAACTCGTAGTCCCAAATGCGGTGCGTGCCGACATCGCGCGCATCAGCAACAGTGTAGCCACCCGCGTCCAAAAACCACGAGGCGAACCGAACGTCGTTGACACTGAAAAAGCAATCGTCGACATCAGCGTCACCTGCGAAGACGGGGGCCGAGGTGACCCCGCAAAAATCTCCCTGCAGATTGAGGAAGTTGTCTGAAAGTCAGAGTGAGGGGGGCAGAACGGTCATTCATTGTCCCTGGGCGCGTGGCTGAATAAGGAATTCGTGGTAAGAATTCTGCTTCTGCGTTCTTGTTGTGGTTGTTGTCGTTGTCGTTGTCGTTGTCGATGTCGATGTCGTTGTCGTTGTCGTTGTCGTTGTCGTTGTTGTTGCTGGTGTTGCTGTTGTTGTTGTTGTGGTTGTTGTTGTTGTTGTTGTTGTTGGTGTTGTTGTTGCTGTTGTTGTTGTTGTTGTTGTTGTTATTGTTTGTTGTCGTCGTCCCACCTGCGACCCACCCGCGACACATCCCGCGACCCACCCCGAGACCCACCCCGCGACCCATCCGCCACCCATCCGCCACCCATCCGCGACCCACCCGCGACCCACCCCGCGACCCACCCGCGACCCACCCGCGACCCACCCCGCGACCCACCCGCGACCCACCGCGACCCATCCGCCACCCATCCGCGACCCACCCGCGACCCACCCCGCGACCCACCCGCGACCCACCCCGCGACCCACCCTCAAGGGAGGAAAAACCACCCGGACCCGACAATTGACCATTACTAAACGGCCCTGGGTGTTGACTAAACAGCCCTGCCTTGTTCGATTCATTCCCTGTGTGCGTTTACCAAATTGTGGGGTGGATTTGCTGCCCTCTACATCCGCGACCCACCCGCGACCAACCCGCAACCCAACAGCGACCTACTCACATTGGTTTAACGAAAAAATCGGCGCCTGCTGCGAGCTCGGTATATAGTTTGAAAAACTTTGGCGCCTGCGGCGGGCTTCTCCAGAGTCTCGCAAACTGCCGACGTCCCCACCGCCCCTCACTCTTATCCGCATCTGCACAATGCTACGTATAGGTGCACCGTGGACCGACCAGATCCGAGCTGAACGGACGGCGGCCGTCCATGACTGAGACAGGCCTGGCGGGGGTCAAGAACCACACGGATTCGAACCCCCGTCTTCTTTTTTTTCTTCTTCTGTTCTTCTTCAACAATGGGATGCAGCGGGCAAAGCAATGCAAGGGCGACAAAGACAAGTATAATATTACTGCCCTCCTCTCTCTCTCTCTCTCTGCGTGTCCCTGCATCTCTCACGCGCTTCTCACTCTCTCCCTCCCTCTCTCTCTCTGTATGTCACTGCATCCATCACGCGACCCCTTCTCTTTCAGCCTATCGCTGTCACGGTCTATTCCTCTGCCGATTGGGCTCGGGCACAGGAACATATGTCAAGACTCGAGATCCTGAGCCCACGAGTCTCAAAGCGAAACCCGAGGCTCTGGAATCCGGAGCTCTAGTATGCTAGACGTACGAAACGTGGCAGGCGCAATCGAGTTTCTGGGTCTTCCACCTGGCCTTCCTATTGTCGTATATGACTGTAAAATGACTGTCAATATGTGGTTCGGAGTCTGTATGCAGCGGTCCTGTATAGTTTTGCCTGCCATTGAGAAACTGCCTGCCTGCATGTATGAGCGCCTGTCCGCTGTGTGCTTCATAGTACCCCGCCCAAAGGCAGCAAGTGCTCTCGCCCTACAAGGGGAGCTGACCCTGCAGATTCGACGGAGTCGCAAGTGCGGTGGAACTTTCCAAGAGCCCGCGCGGGACAGGAAGGTGGCACCCGCCCTCAGGGTCCAACTCACAACAAACTTTCACCTGGGGGTGCGATGCCCCGCTTTCGAGGCCCGCAGCAATGAGATGTCCGATCGGGTGCGATCCTTCCGCGCACCTCCTTCTACCAACAGAATCCGGATCACGGACACGATCAGCCCAAGTTTGTGGCCACATGCTGTCCGATGCAGCCCTACCCCATGTCACGCTCATGCTGTAGAAGTGCCGAGACCTGAATCAACAAACGTTACTGCGCCATTGCTCGGAAGCGGCCAAGAGGGGGGTGTCCAAGAGGGGGGGGTGCAAATCATGACCGGCGGCATGTGCGCCGCCCAGCGGGGGGGTTAGGGACGTAATGAAACAAGAAGAGAGGCGCCATAAAATCTGGGGAAATATCGTGGCCCCCGCCATGATATCCACCCCCCCCTAGTCATCACCCCCCTCTTTTCCGCCCCCGAATTGCTGGTGGCAGATCGCGGCGCTCCGGGCGGGCGGCTTCTTGTGTCTGTCGTGCGAATCGTTCGACTTGGTCTGGGAGCGGCAACCGTCCGTCGTTTTGTCCTCCTCCTCCCCCCCTCCTTCTCCCCCTCCTCCTCCTCGTCACTCGTCCTCTTCCTCCTCCTCCCCCTCCCCCTCCTCCTCCTCCCTCCCCCCCCTCTCCCTTGTCGTCCTCGTCCTCCCTCCCCCCCCTCCTCCTCGTCCACACGTTCGTGCTATTGTCACGCTCCGCTCTCAAATCCAAGATGCACTGTCTGCAAGAGAAGCCCAGCACACAAACGTGCCGCGGGCAGTCCATGAACATGTCTGACACGTCTGCAACTGACTCGACTCTTACTGAGACACCACACCGTGACGACGTACCGCTTCGTGCGCCATGAAAAAAAAATCGTGCGCGAGACAGACGATTAAGTGAAACTCTGCCTCATTCCTCGGACTCCTAGCTGCTGTCGCGGATGCCACTGAAGGTGAGCTTGCCACTGGCATCGCTGTGAGCGTGTCGGATTCGGTGGGGCAACAATCGCACTTGAGTTTGAGCTATTACCTAGACGTGCCCGGCCCTGTGTAGGCGATTCGTCGGCGATCCCTTCTCCTCGAGCCCTGGGCCAAAGCTGGCCCGACGCAACTCTGCCTGGGTCGGCGATGATGGTGGCCTCCGTGACGTGTTTGGTGACAACTCACGGGGCCTCCCATGCCATCTTCCTGGCTCGTGCGGACCGACGCTACAAATAACCGACGCTGCGTTTCCGATGCAGATCGACGCCAAATCGACGCTGGTAGACGCGAAACTGGCGTTCTCTCATCGAATACCAGACGCTAGCGCACGCTGGTTCGCCGACGCTGCCGACCGCCCACACATGGAGGAGGAGGGGGAGGAGGAGGAGGAGGAGGAGGAGGAGGAGGAGGAGGAGGAGGAGGAGGAGGAGGAGGAGGAGTGTGGAGGAGGAGGAGGAGGAGGAGGAGGAGGAGGAGGA